GCTCGCTGTACAGAAAATCACCTGGAGCAAAACTGGGCAAATTTTGGAGCAGAAATTACAACTGATCGTCCCAGGACGATCCAGATCGTCCTGGACGATCCTGGAGCAGATTTTTGATATTTCAATGGGTCAGAGCAAGCTCGTGCGGGCGGGATCGGAGCGGTGCGGATCGCAGGACGCGTGTGCGAGTTGGAGTGGGCTCTTGCAAACCAGAGCGGGATAGGTTTGAGGACGCGGGTGTGGGTCTAGGACCGCAGGAGACCCAGGTTGCGTGCGCGATTGAGCGAGCCTAGGAGTTGGAGATGTGGGAGGGGACAGGATGTTGATTTTAGGTCGGACGAAGTCATGGGAAGCAAAGTTGTATGAGCCTTTTCTTTTTCTTTCACGCCAAGCTAGTGGTTTTTTTTAAAGCCAAATGGATTAAGGAGTTACGAATTAAAATGAGGGACGATTACGAGTTGTGGGCTGGTGGCGATTTATTATTATTATTATTATTTAATGCTTATGTAACTTTATAATTAATTATTTTGAATTAAAATTGATTTGAAAATTTATATATATTCCCTCCCCTTTTTTATTATCTATAGGGTCATTAAAACAAAAATAATCTATCACTTTTCTTGAGTTTTAAGAGGGAAAAGTTGTTTACAAAATTTCAAGCTACAGTAAAATTTTCTTTCTTCTTTCTCTTTTTCTTATAAAAAATCTTCAACATTGTTGATAAATTCAGTTGCTTTGTTATTGGCGACATTATTTTCATTATAGATTTGCAAAAAGCCATCTCAAAGATGCTGACTTTGGAGTTAGCAAGTTGTTGAAGATAGCCAAGAATATTGGATAAGAAAGGCATCCGTCTTTTCCAGAAACTTCCTGTAGGTTCATCTCGTCCTTATTTGAGTGTCGTTTTGTTTTGCCCTCGTGATCTTACTAAAGTTAGATCATCAAGATCATTACGAAATTTTTCATAGCTTGAGCTGTCTTTTTGTACTCGTGTATTAAAACATTCCTTGTTATAGTCAGGGATTGGGATAGAATTGCTGTGCAATTTTGTTGGTTGCTTCGATTTTAATTTTACTACTGTAGCTATTGACTGTAATGTGCAAACCTGCAAACTTGCGAAATCACAAGCTTCACGAAAAGACCATTTCTGATCCTCATAACCTCAACCTTGGGCGATAGTACCTGGTGCTGCTGTAGAAATTAAAGCATCTTTTACATACTCATACAGCACCTGATTAACTAGATTCAAAGTTTCCAATTTTAATATCAAGATATTCTAATTCTGGAAAAATGTTGATTCTTTTCTATTAAATGTATCTTATTCTACAGTGGTAGTACTGGACCACCTACTTTTTATTCGTTTCAGAGTAAAAGCTCAAAGTTGTCCCTTGACTATTAATAAATGCCCAATTTAGTCTCATGCTTTCATAATGACCCAATTTAATCCCCCACATATTAGAAAATGTCTCAATTTAATCCTAATGCCAAAAATAACAGGTAAAATTAATCTCAATAGTTAAATATGACGGCATTTTGGATATTATGATATTTATTATTTATCATATTAAAACAAATACAAAAATCATAGTAGAAGTTAATCAATTAAATAATAATATAGTGAATAATTAATAAATGTGATTAATATTCATTATAATTTTTATTTATTTTAATATGATAAATAATAAAATATATAAAAATAATAATATAATCTCACATACACTCTAATACCCAAAATACCATCACATTTAACTATTAGGTTTAACTTTAACGGTTACTTTTAGCCTTGGGATCAAATTGAGATATTTTCTAATAATCAGTAAACTAAATTGGGGAATTATGAAAATCTGGACTAAATTGGCCCTTTACTTATAGTCGGGGGATTATTTTGAACTTTTACTTTATTCGTCCACATATATGAAGATTTGCAAAGAAATTTACTATGTTCTACGTAATATTCTAAGAAAAAGTGTAGGTCTTCATAAGCTCCAGCATTCTTTGTTTTAGTAAATATATGTCTTCTGTAATACTTCATATTTTTGTTTGTCTTTCTTCACCAGCTTTTAGTGGTCTCCAAATCTTGCCGGCCTTCGTGTACATCTTAAGAAGAATGTCAGTTGCTGCATAATATTTTCCAACAAGGATCCTCAATTTCTTTTTGGAAGTTTTTTAATGAATTAGAGTCATTCTTTTATTTGTTTTCTCTTTTAACAGTTCCCCTTGATACTCCCATGTATACCTTTATTTTCAACTTTCAATCATATCTTCATTCTGCATTAATGTCGACACATTTTGATTGAATATGATCAAAATTGGAAAAAATATGCTCTTAGTTCTCTCATTCATCTATATTAGTTTTAAGAGGGAAAAGTTGTTTACAAAATTTCGAGCAACGGTAAATATTTTTTTCTTCTCTCATTTCTTTTTTTTCTTATAAAATTTTTTCAACTTTGTTGATAAATTAAGTTGTTATTCAAATTCAGTTGCTTTGTTATTGGCGTTATTATTTTCATTATAGTTTTGCCAACAGCCATCTCAAAGATGCTCAATTTGGAGTTAGCAAGTTGTTGAAGATAGCCAAGAATATTGGAAAAGAAACGCATCCGTCTTGTCAAGAAACTTCCTGTAGGTTCTTCTCGTCCTTATTTGAGTGTCGTTTTGTTTTGTCCCCTTGATCTTACAGGAGTTAGGTCATCAAGATCATTACGTAAGTTTTCATAGCTTGAGCTGTCTTTTTGTACACGTGTATTAAAACATTCCTTGTTATAGTCAGAGATTGAGATAGAATTGCTGTGCAATTTTGTTGGTGCTTCGATTTTAATTTTACTACTGTAACTATTGACTGTAATAATGTGCAAACCTACCTACAGATTGAAATGGATGTAAGAGACCATCATTTCTGATCCTCATAACCTCAAACTTGGGCGATAGTGCCTGGTGCTGCTGTAGAAATTAAAGCATCTTTTACATCCTCATATAGCATCTGATTAACTAGATTCAAGGTTTCCAATTTAATATCAAGATATTTTAATTGTGGAAAAATGTTTATTGAAGGCTAAAATTGCATATTTTCTTTTAAATGTATCTTATTCTACAGTAGTAGTACTTGACCACCTACTTTTTATTCATTTTATATTAAAAGCTCAAAATAGTCCCTTGACTATTAATAAATATCCAATTTAGTCTTAGACTTTCATAATGACCTAATTTTGCCCTCCGACTATTAGAAAATGTCTCAATTTGATCCTAATGTCAAAAGTAATAGGTAAAATTAATCACAATAGTTAATGTGAGGGCATTTTGGGTATTATGATGTATGTAAGATTATATGATTTTCTTATATTATTTATTATTTATCATATTAAAACAAATACAAAAATCATTATAGAAGTTAATCAATTATATAATAATAGTGAATAATTAATAAACGTGATTAACTTTCATTATAATTTTTTGTATTTATTTTAATATGATAATGTTACGCCGGCCCAGGAGGGGCCGGCTGGACCG